GTGGCCCGGGCCAGCCTTCCGTGGGGAAGGGGGTGTGAGCCTCCTGCTGCTGCTGCTCTCCTCCAGTATAAATCCACACCTGGCAAGAAGGTCTCCATTGCGGGCTGGATGGTACAGCTGCCCGACGACCCTGAGCACCCGGACATCTTCCAGCTGAATAACCCAGACAGAGGTAGGCAGTGGGCGGAGCTGGTGCCGGCAGCCCCTCGACCGTGTGTCCCCTTCTGCTAAACGTGCACCTTGAAGCGACAGGGACTGCTGAGGTGCAGCTTTCCTTTTGCTTTAGGTTCTGATGTTCTCAGGCTCCCTCACTAGCCCACGGAAGCTGCTTAGATCGTGGTCGCTGTGTCCACTGAGCAGTGCACATAGCATGTGGCTGCAGGAATCCTTTTTGTGGCCTCACCTCACCCCTGGCACTGGAGTCTCAGGCTCTTAGAATAAATGACATAATGCTGGAGGAGGCAGCAACCGTGTGGCTAGAAGGGTCTTGGTCCTGGGAGATTTCAGGGACACCCCAGATATTACTGGTGCCATGAGACTCCGGCAGTGTCCTGACCCAAGGCCAGCTCAGAGAAGAACCCTTTTACAAAAGCTCCCAGCTCCTCTGGGTTCTGTCCTTACCCCTTGGCCACGCTAGGAAGAAGGGAAGGTTCTGGGCACCATGTTGTCCAGGAGCCCTGTCTGCACTGTTGTTCAGAACAGGTCAGCTTGTCTCCTTGGCAGCCGTGTCACATGACACAGCCCCAGTGTGGCCCAGGCCTTGGATTCTAAACTCCTAGAATAATCACAATATCTGTGATTTTATCCCCGAGAGAAACCACAGGCATCTTGGTGGCACGCACTGTCGCAGACATTTCAGAGTGCCGCTCATGCGCACCTCTCTGCACCACGGTGCAGCTTCAGACCCGCTGGTTCTTGTAGCTGTGCTCTACTGAAGTGGCACGTGCAGAACTGCACCACCTGTTTGCTTTTTAGTAGTCTGATCCCTGTGTTTCAGTATTGATTCCCCTAGTATTATATTTTACCCATTTGAAAACATTATTCTGTCAGGGTCCACAGGTTTCACCAGAGCCAAAGGCACCATGGCCCCAAAAAACGGTTAAGAGCCCTGATCCAAAGAGCCAGCCTGGAAACACAAGGGGGGGCGCTCCTCCTCAGCAAGCCCCGGGCTCTGACCTTCCTCAGTTTAGTTACCCATGTCTGCGTTATCTTCATGTCTCAGTCACAGGCAGACCCTCTTCTGTGACCCACTTCTTAACTAGTGGTTTCTCCACCCATCAGGCAATGTTTACAAGTTCCAGACTGGTTCCCGGTTTCATGCGATACTGTGGCACAAGCATTTGGACGATGCATGTAAAAGCAACAGGCCTCAGGTAAAGTCACCAAAATCCTGTTTGTCACCTGAAATACCCTCTCAACCCTTGGGGCTGAGGGTGCTTAGAAAACAGGGCTCCCTCCTCCCCTCAGAGCCTCTCAGCTGGGCTCTCTGGCATCTTCTTGTGATTGGCCTTTTCCCAAAAGACAGGGCATCCCTGCTCGGCTTATGGCAAAACCCAGCTTCAGGCCAGAACTTTGAGTCTCATCCCTGTGTTCTGTGCACTAAAGGAAACCCACAGAAATATCCATCAGAGCCAGTTAGGCCGCAGCATCTCTTTAGATCTTCCCCCCAAAAGTTTATCCATAGGAATACTCCAGACTGACTAACTGGCTTCCTGGCCCCCACAATCCTTGGAATAATAATAATAATAATAATAATAATAATAATAATAATAATAGCAGCTAGCGTACTGAGAGCCAGCCGTGGCAGCTGATGAACAGGGCTCTGGCTCGGCTCCCTCCCCCACCACACCCATCACACCCGGGACGAGCAATTTTCAGCCGGTGTGCCACAAGAATTCTTTAAACACGCAGTGCCTATTTAGTCAGGGACTCTGGCCTCTCTTCCCTTAGACTGTCAAATAGAACAATGACGCCAGCCAACACAACAGTAGCCGTCCAGTGTGCATGGATCAAAATCATGCCTATTTTTTGTCAGATTGGCAAAAAATATATTTTTTGGTGTGCCGCAGAATTTTAGTAATTAGTTTATGTGTGCATGAGATGAAAATCGCTGCATTAAACAAATGTAAGTGCCCGTCTACACAATGGAGAGACCAGGGGTTTTGTTTTTGGTGGCCAGTCACCTTAAGATGATGCCAAGTGAACAAGGCATTAGGGCTTGAACAAGGCTGGTGCCACCTCAGGTCACATTAAAAGAGAAAGAAGTCCTGACCTTCCCCATGCTGGTCACACCGTGCACGTCCGGGACCCCTCAGAGGCCCTGAGTGACCTGTGAGCAGGAGGCTGGAGTGGCTCTGGGTCTAACAGGGACTGGCAGCCCTGAGGTGGGCCCCCAGGAGAGTGGGGGGGGGAGAGAACAGGGCCTTTCTGTGGGGCACCAGCCAGGAGCACCAATGGTCGCCCGAACGAGAGCCCATTTAGGGCAGCTGAGCGTGGCAGCAGGGTCACAGCAGGTAGCAGGGAACTGGGTCAAACCCAGGTGGCAGAGCAGGTGTTTGGTCAGAAGGACAAATGGGTTGGATTTCATGTGTGGCAAATGTGGGGTGCCACGGAAAGGTTTTGCTACTTTTCAGTATTTTGTCTAATTTTTAGACCTAGGGGAGGAAGACGTTTTATTTTTCTACTCTTTTCCCGTTTTATTTCTAATTTACTTTCAACCAAGTAGTCCCGCTCTGTGCTGTATATAGTAATAGTAATAAGACGTTGGCTACAACTGACTGCTCCAAAGCTGAGGGTTATTTCAGCAAGCCACGGTCCTTCCAGTCCTCCCCAGTGGTGGCAACAAGGGGGGCGCGAGGACGGCCACAGAGATGCATCCGCGCCCTGGGAAGCCCCCGAGACTGAGATTGGTTTTCTTTTGGGGGGAGTTGCATTTCTTAAAGTTGTTTGTACTAACATTTAAACGTCATAACCCCATAACTCCCAGTTTGTTTGTTTTCCATTCCTGTGAATTGTTAGCACTTGTTTTGATTCCTTAATGTATTGTCTGGGGTACATTTTTTAAAACATTTTTTTACAAATAGAACCGTAGCTATATATTCTCTTCTGTGACCTGCTTTTCTCCTGCAGTGTGTTCCTAAGATTCATCTGTGTCCATGTGTACCCATTTTTTNTCATTTTCATTCATTTACTGTACCCATTTTTTAAAATCAATTCTGTGAGTGATCCCCGAGGTAGATTTCCTGCTTTTTGCTGTTTGGAGCAGAGCTGCCCTCCCACCCTTGTGACGGTCTCCTGGTGAGGGCGGTGCGCCTTTCCAGCTCATCACCTGCCCACACTGACACCAAGATGGATTCGTTGTTGATGAGATTGCTTCTCATCAGATCTCCTGGAATCCCCTGGGCACTGTGCGGGGAGGAGGCCTGGGGCTTGCTAGTAGCTTCAAGGGGAGGGGGTAACACCGTGACCTTGGGGGGGTGGTCCCCCAGTAAAGGGAGCTGGGATCATATCCTGGGGATATAGCTATGGGGAAGTCTTGGGGTTCCTGATCTCCCCAAACCTACTCCTTGTGCTTCCACCTGCCAGTCTTGCCACCCCTACCCCCATTCCTGCAGGATCTGTGACTTCTCAGTTTTATCTGGACCCAGGGAGAGTGGTTGAGAGCATGGGCCCTGGTGTCTTAGCCCCGCCACTTACTGGCTATGCACCTCACCTTGCTAAGCCCGTTTCCTCATCTCTATGTGGGGATGCTTCCAGTACCTGCCTTACGGGATTGTTGGGAGGACTCGAGGACATGATGCATATGAGGTGTTCAGAGCAGTGCCTGGCAGCAGTCACTTCACAGTGGCAGTGTTCACTATTTCTGTGCCCTCTCCCCACCTGACCTCATTCACAGACTCACTGGGCAAGGCCTGGTCCCATCCTTTAGGGACCACTGCTCGTCCCCATCTGAGAGGTTGGGACTTTGACAAAGGCTGAGCTTTCTCTTCTAGGTACCTGCAAACCTTATGTCATTTGAATAAGTCTCTGCAGGACTTGGCGTGACTTCAGAAGCTTCTGGGAGCCCTGCCTGGGACTGGTGGTGAGCGCAGGTCCTGGGCACAGGCCACTGGCCAGGGTGCTGGAGACTCACAGCTGGACTCTAGGGGACGGGGCCTGTGGCCTCACAGTCCAGAGGCCCCACCGGTGCAGGATCTGCCACCAATCCCCAGCGACTCTCATGACACTCATTCAGCAGCTACACTCCATGCTCCCTCTCTGGGCCCTCGTCCGTCCGCCAGCTGCTGCTGCGACTAGAGAGCATTTGGCCCACGTTGGGTCCCCAGTGCTTTCTCCTGCACAAAGGAGTGGACAGTGTTGCCCTGCATGAGGGGCCAGAGAGCAGGAACAGGTTGTGGAACTGGCTCTACACCCCAAGTGCATGGGGTTGCTCAGGGCCCCCTCAGATTTTGTACAATCCGAAGCGTCCTCTGCGCGTGCGTGCCGTGTACGTGTGCATGCGAACGAGTGTGAACTCTTCGAGAAACATGCATTTTGGCACAAGACTCGTGACATCCAACACTTCATTGGCTTTGAGGCCCTGCTTTAACCTTTAGTGACAGCCTTGTCCACCAAGGAAGGTCAGAGTGAGAGCCCAGATCCCCCGTGTTAAGGGTCCCTCGCATTCTTTTACTGTAAACAAACGATGCCTTAAATCGTGTCTTGTTTTCTGTTCCTATGGGTGCTATTCATCTGGAAGGCTGCTTCCGGGCCCGGGTCCCTTCCAGGTCATGTGGTGTCAGCTCTTCCGAGACAGGACCTGGCTTCAGGACTATGGACTGGGCCCCTGCCTGCTTGCTCCTCCCACCCCTCTCCTGCAGGGCCTGAAGGCCTCTCTTCCCATGCCCACTCCCTGCCAGGATGGAAAGCTGTGCCACACCTCCTAGCTCCCCAGAAGCAGCTCGGAGGCGGCCATGCTCACTGCGAGTGGCTGCACCAACCTCTCCCTGCAGGCAGAGGCTTCTGCTCCCTCATCTCACCCCTTTGCCTCCACTGCCAGAGCAGGGCCCACTGGGAGTCCTGATTACACTGGGGAGCTGAGTGATACTGAGGCCTTAAGCTCCCACAGTATTTCCCCCCAACCCAGTCACCAGCAAGTTTTCCATCATCCAAGTCCAAAGGCACAATTGTTGATGACCATGGTGACAAAAGAACCAAGCCCTGGGGAGTGACGGCCCAAGCTCTGCATTCAGTTAAGAGCTCGGCACATGAGCAACATCCTTTATCTGTCATATTTTTAAGTGACTTTTATTTTGCACAAATACATTTTTGTTCAAAATAACTAATAAAAACTAACTTTATTTATGGCAGCTTTGTCACCGTAGCTCCTCTCTTCCTACCCCCCCTCTTTCTCTCTCTCTCATCTGGGTGTCCTAATTGTGAGGGGGAAACCCTAAAATGCTGTTCTGAAAGAAACGGAATTTCTGGTCCTTGTTGCTATCGGGGCCTCATGGCTCACGTGGATCAGATATCAAACCACCGCAACAGTTTCCAGACAAGATGCTTCAAAGCAGCATCTTAACCAAGAAACTGTAACAGGTCAGTTTCAAAACAACTAAAGTAGCCACCACTGTATTTTGATCAAATGGTGACAACTTTCCTAAAAATTTGAATGAATTGGTGAGGAAAGATGTTGTCATCAGGATCTTATTTTGTGGGGGGCCTTACTGTGCTCATTCACTAACCCTCCTTCGGAGCAAAGTCGAAAGTACTTTCATGCCAGGAGAAACGGCAGACAGTAAAAGCGAGGCCATCACGCCTTAGCCACTGGTGCTTTGCCCGCCTACCCACAGCTGGGGTCCAGTGCATGCACCTGATTCACAGCCAGGACTATTCAAATTAGCATCTGAAATCTAAAAGCTGAATGAAGGCACCAAACACCCCAAAAACCTCTCACCAGAACCACTCAGTGTTAACTCTCACCTACATTCAGTCTCATCCTGCCTGTTAATTTTTACAAAGTCTTAAGTGTGGATGAATGCGCACGACTGGAACGTCAGCTACGTATTTTCCTTGTATTTCTCCATTCTTCAGTTGTCCTGGGTTTTCTCACATGAAATATTACACATGCCGATCCAACAACCTCAGAATTTCGGGCTCCACTAAATCAGATCATTTTCTGCCCTTTACAAATTTTTCTTCTCTCTTACAAATGTTTCCTTCTGGGCCTAATTTGAAACAGCACAATTGCAGTTCTTTCCAAAGTGTTCAGTCTTTTCACTAATTGAGACTGATCCCCCATCCCCTCCTAGAACTATTTTTAGGTTGGATTCTTGAAGAATCTTTTTAGACCTCATTGGCCAAGTCTGTGTAAAACTGGTACTAACCTTGAGCTACCAGAAGAGTCCTGAGACAAGCTGAGAGACGCTGGGCCCTCCCAGCAGGGGCTCAGGCCAAGCTCGCCAGTGAAGGAAGATTGTCTTCCCGGTGTCGCTTTGCCCCTCAAGCTGCAGGTGAGGAGGCCCGCAGGCTGGGACGGAGGAGCAAGGCTCAAGTCCCAGAGGGGGAAAGTCCACAGGCGGGTTCTCACCCTGGAGGGAAGCGTTTCTGGTTTTTGCTCTTTGACTGTCCATAGTGCACAAATGTTTGTGAAACCATTGTAGGTGGTATGTCTTGCATGCATATGCTGTATCTTTTATTTTAAGCAAACAGATCATGACACCCCGAAAGGAAAATTGTGGGATGCCGTTTACTAACTGGAGTATAGGTATCATTACCATGCCCCTCACCCCTTCCTGGGAGTGTTTTTCACTCCTTTCAGTTGACCTTTTGAAACTCAAGGTCAGCCAAGTGTGTCCTGATGACTGAAATGCCCCCGGGAGGACTGGTTTGATGGACAGCAGTAGCAGTATTGCTGAGTGTGCCCGGTGAGAGCGCGTGGCCTCTCCTTCCCTGAAGAAGCCCGTTCGTCACCCTGCCCCACCGTGGATCCTAAAGAGGAAGATACTTAAAAAGATTCTATTGGGAAAGAACCCACTCTCCTTGCCAACTGAGTTTATAAAGCGTTTCTGTTCTTGCCAAGATGGCCAGTATTTCTTTCATCGTCTTCCTCCCACCTCCGAAGCCCAAGACATGTATCTTTGAGGATGCCGTCTTCCAGGCGGACCGTGGCCCGTGAAAGCGGGAAGCCATTTGCAAGCAGGGTCTGCCTTCATTTCACAGGTGGCATCTGGAGCTCCTACCCACATCACTGATGCTTATGACCAGGCAAACATGGCCGAAAACACAACCTATTTTTAGTGACTTCGTAAATGACTTTATTCAGCCCGTATCATACTGACATGTTGGGCGATTTCATGTTTAAAAAAGAAAAAAACGAGATTCTCTGCAGAGCCACCCGTTCACTCATTCATTCGTTCACATCTCCAGTGAGTGCTTCCTGTGTGCCAGGCTCTCCCGGATGTAAATGGCTGAGAACAGGACAGACCAGTCCCTGCCCCCAGGAGCTGACCGCTCAAAGAACAAATAATCCTCACACTGCATCTCCTCTGGCAAGACCCTGCCTGTCTCCCAGCACTCAGTACAAGGCCTGTGCAGACTCCTCCAGAGACGCTTCGAGAGGCTCAGCCGACTGAACAGCCGGCCCCTTGATATGAGAGTCCAGTGCAGTGACTGGATGGAGTTGCCGTCCCAGGCACTGGTCGGTGCAGAACAGGCAGGGCAGAGCCGGGGCTGGGCACGCAGAGGACCCCAAGGTGGAATGAGAGCAGGGCCAGCATGTTCACAGTATTTACTTCATAGGTTTTTTGGTTTTAATTTCATGTTAAACATAAGTACAGCATGAGTGAGAGCTGCATCTCTTGAGCGTTGAGAATTTGCACCGTGGACCACCTCACAGGCTGCACAAGTGAGTGGACACCAGAGGCAGCCCGAAGTCCCTGCTCGCAGCAGCGACGCCATGGAGCATCTGTCCCTTCTATAACCACTAATCTCTTTACCCATTTCTGAATGACTGAGACCATTTGGTAATGAAACGATAGTAATTAATTTATTAGTACGGTATGACCTTTAAATAAATTTTGTGCCAAAATGCATGGTTTTTCACTTAGCATTCAAAATGTTGCGTAGAGAGTATTTTAAGTATCCATTTCTTATGTATTCTTCAAAATAAGTTGAAAATCAGTTTCTACATTTTAATTCATTTCTTGTTGAATCTGTCCCCCTCTCCCCGGCTGTCTTCCCCAGCACACTCCCTGCATGCAGTTGTGTAAGGACTTTCTCTAATTTCTGTGAAGTGTCTCACCCGCAATAACACTGAACATCAGCCCTTTGCGATTCTTTAGATTTTTGGTGAAGTATTTTGTTACCTCAGTCTTGTATCAAGTTGCTGTATTTTTCAGCTTGTTACACTGATAATTGTTTCACTAATTAAATACTTTAATGTAAAAACATCTTTGTTTACTTTGAAATTAAATGTGTTTTCCAATGAATATTGCTCAATTTATTAAGGTCACGTGTATTTCACTTCGTAAACAGTTGCTGTGCCAGATACAGACATGAAGGAGGCGTGGGGCGCTCAGGGCCCAGTTAAGAGTTATTAGAACATAAATGACATATGGGAGCAGTGGCCTCAGGAAGGACAGAGTCAGTGCTGTGGACACTCGGGGAGGGAGGTGGGGGATCTGGGGATGCTTTAGAGGACAGTGGACATTTGGAGATTGATTTCTAAGATCTGAACACATGGAGGGTGGAGAAGGCAGAGAGACAGACGGCAGGAAGAGCAGGAGGAGGTTGGGAAAGGCAGCCAGCCCAGTCTCACTAAGTAAAGGATTTGGGGGAGGAATGGGATCCAAGTCTGAAAAGATATGTTGGGGCAAATTCATGATGTTAAGCGAAAGCCAGAAACCCTCTCTAGCTTGCTTAAGAGAAAGTGGGACCATCTTACACCGAGGGGAGGCTGTCTTACAAGGGTCCCGTGGGAGCCCGAGGGGAGGACCGAGGTGGAGTCTCAAGGGGCCGGAAGGAGAAAAGGAAGGCCCTGCATCTTTCCCTCTCCCCTCCATTCTCTCTCCAGACTGGCTTCTCTGCTGGAAGGTGCAGCAAGCAAAGGAGTCCTGGGAAAGCTAGTTACTGAGGCAGTGTGCACCAGGGAGGGACGTGATCCAAGCTGATCATGAGAGCCCTGGCCCTCCCTGCCTCAGTTTCCCAGCTAGTGCCTTCCAGAGCTGCAGTAGCCGATTCTCCAAGCACAAGCTCACCACCCCAGTTCCGGGCCAGCATGGCCACGCCTCCCTAGCCAAGACGAGCCCTCTACCTGAGGGAGCCTAGTTCACCTCCTCCTCACAATTCAGATGGCACAGTAATCCCCAGCTCTACCCAGATGGGGTCACTGCCCTCAGCCCCAGTGTAGTGCCCAAGGGCTCTGAGACCGTCGCATTTGACTTGGGGAGGAGGTGAAGGCGGTGGAGGGTGTTGGTTGTCACACAACTGGAAAGTGATGCGGTCAAGACTTGAACCCACCGCTGGCAGCCGGCAAAGCTCAAGCCCCTCAGGCCCGCTGCGTCAGGCGCCGCAAACGACCGCCAGGGGACAGCAGCACCTCCTCCTGGTGGTGGGGAGCTCCGGAGCTCGCGCACAGCGCGGTCGAATGCCTGCCGCTTTAGCATCGGAGGCGGGCACCGTACCCGGGCGCTCGGGGAGCCAGCGACCCGGCGCC